GGCCCCTAGGGTTGGCACCCGTGTGGGAGATGGCGTCCCAGGCGGGGAACGCAAGCGTTTGCGCCTGAATGCTGTCACCATGAATTGTGAAACGCTGCATCATGCTGATGATGATGCTCCAGACTTGCAATATGGTGGGCCAGAAGCTGATGAGCTGTGCGACTATGATCATGAGCTTGAGTATGAGGGCTATGAGCTGGATCAGGATGAAATCCCAAGTTGCCTCATTCGTGATTTTTCAGAGCATGAGCCCCAGCTCTCCGAATATGAGTTGGCTGAAATTGATCATGTCGCAGCAGCCTTCGAGGTTAGCCGGTTGACTGGCATGGGCGTGATGGAAGAAGTGGAAGGTCGCCTGGATGGCCATAGGACCTTGTCTACTAAGTACGTTTTCACTTGGAGACCCAAGATTATGAACTCACAGCGCATTTGGCTCAGACGAGCCAGACTCGTTGCTCGCGAGTTTGCCCATCTTGACCCTCACAGGAGCGGCTTATTCAGTCCAGCCACGTCCTCCGTGATGGTCCGCATCATACCTGCTCTTTACATGTCTCAGAAGGATAATGGCTGGAGTCTCCTTGCCATGGATATATCCGACGCATACCTTACCTGCAGCCAGGGCCAGCCTACTGTCACTCGGGTTGGAGATCGTTGGTTTCGCCTTTGGAAGATGTTGCCAGGCCAAAGGGACGGCCCAAGTACTTGGTTCACAGAGTTTACCCAATTCTTGGGCAAAAGTGCCGGCGCATCGCTAATGGCAGAGCAGCCAGCCTTGTTCTCTTTAGAGGAGCGTCGGGGTGCAGGTATGTTGCATGTGGACGATGTCATGAGTACTGGGTTCACCCCTTGCTTGCAATCTTTAGAGAAATCCGTTGGTTCAAAGTACAAGCTTCACAGTGAGTGGATCCTCGACATCGGGGATGAAGCTTCTTTTCTGAAGCGCAAGCACATGCTAGTGCAGCCTGATCTGTTGCTGATCGTTCCTTCGGTCAAGCGTGTGGACAAGTTGTTGGAGCTCACAGGCTTGAGCAAGGCTAAGCTGCGTGTTCGAAAGACTCCACTGCCGGTCGGAGGTCTTCCGATTGACAAGGAGAGCGACCCCGCTCTGGATGCAGCTACGAGCTCTAGGTATCGCAGTGCCATGGGAGTCCTTTTGTACCTTCAGAGTGATTTATTGGAGTGCCAGTTCTCCATTCGGCTGTTGAGTACGATGTCTCATTGCCCCACGGTCGGAGCTTGGCAGATGTTGCGGCATCTTGTTAGCTACATTGCATTTGCGCAGAACCAAGTGCTTGGACTCAGCAAGCCAACCGTTGGTAATGGCATTGTCCGAAAGCAGCAAGGTAGCTCCTTGCTGGAGGTTTTTACGGACAGCGATTGGGCTGGATGTCGCCGTACAAGGCGTAGTGTGTCAGCTTGTGTGATCGCATGGGACAGTATGGTCTTGCACTCGAGTTCCCGCACCCAAAAGAGCATCTCGCTAAGCAGTGCAGAGAGTGAATACAATTCCATGGTTTCAGGAGCCTGCGATGCAATCCTTGTCAAGGCCTGCATAAACTTTGTTGCGCCGCCAGAATGTCAGGTGAGTGAGGTTTCTCTTTTCGTTGACAACAGTGCGGCGCGTAGCATTGCATCTAGGCAAGGCGTTGGCCGCACACGTCACTTAGAGGGTAAAATCCTTTGGCTGCAAGACAAGGTGAAGCAAGGTGTCTTCATTCCTCGCCCAGTGTCTACTTCTGATAATGTATCCGATCTCGGAACTAAGGTACTTAAGGCCGATAGGGTAGCTTATCTCTTGA